CACTCTCACTTCTCCTCTCATCTACACCCACATCCCAGCACTCACTCTCACTTCTCCTCTCATCTACACCCACATCCCAGCACTCACTCTCACTTCTCCTCTCATCTACACCCACATCCCAGCACTCACTCACTCTAACTACTTCTCTCCTTCTTCAATTGCGTCTCTCCCAACACCCTTAATTTATCAAATGAGTGTTTTCTATGATGTGATGTGGGCCAATGGCCTCCACACTTTGCCACTACAAGGTCTCATAGAGGAAAAACTCTTGCCATCAAAGGCAAAGGCATTTGGGGGAAAATCCAAAGAAACTGGGTGGTGAACATCGCCGATCGGCGACATGTGACGGCAAAGTGGTAAACACTGAATAAACTTACATACCTACTTCCTACATCCTAATTTCCCCAAACCTCATCCTCAAACCGTGTTCTTCCGTACAGAATGACAGACACAGACTTTGTTCCCACCTGCGGACCCCCCCCCTCCCTCCCCCGAACCAAAACCACCAGTTGTCCACAGAATCCTTCCAAAAAAACCCACAGTTGGAGAGTCCCTGTAGAACCTCAGTACATTCACATTTCTATACAAACTGATGGTGGCAAAAGTACCGGTGTATCCCAGAAAAAAAGTGGGACTTTCATGTCATTTACGATAAGTTCCACACAACCGATGGAAACAGAATTCAAGAAAAAAAATTCAGATTTAATGAAACTCCAATCATGGTTCTTGGATGAGTGACAAAAACTGGAGGGTTGTGCCTTTGTCCCAGTACACAGCAGGTCAGTGACATACCGGTCCACTCCCCCACCACAAGTTCAATATGTTTTTAGTTCTAAGGTTTTACGGCACTCGCAACTGCAAAAGGTCATATGAGCGCCAAGGGGTGGATGTCAACAGAGAAGTCCAAATGGGGAATCAGGCTTACTCTGCTCACCTCTCTAGCCTCAACAGCACAAAGTCTGCTTTGACTATCAAGGCACCCCGGAAATAGCAGTTCACAAGAGAGTGACAAACCTACAAAAGAAGTAGAGGAAAAATGACGATAGTACGGATGGGGAAAGGGGAACAAGTTGAACATTGACCCACCCGGTGCCCACAGCTAGATGACCACATGTGTGTGTGTGTGTGTGTGTTTGTGTGTGTGTGTGTTTGTGTGTGTGTGTGTGTGTGTGTGTGTGTGTGTGTGTGTGTGTGTGTGCGTGTGCGTGCGCTGCACTCAAACAAAATGTCCACAAGTCACAATATTTATTCAACACTGATAACTTTGCATACATAATTCCCACTCTCTTCAGCATACACAAAAACTTTTCTCTAGCAACCCCAGCTCACACATTCCCCCAAACTTTCAGTCCACACTGTGTCACTCTCTGGGGCACAAACACACACACATACAACAGGTCTATCTCTGGGGCACACACACACACAACACGTCTATCTCTGGGGCACACACACACAACACGTCTATCTCTGGGGCACACACACATACACAACACTTCTATCTCTGGGGCACACACACACACACACACACACAACACGTCTATCTCTGGGGCACACGGGCACACACACACACAACACGTCTATCTCTGGAGTCTGTAACAAAGTGGTCAGGTCTAGAAAAGTTCACTTCACAGGAGAAGTGAAAACTTTTATTTTGCAAGGGTCATTAACACAAAATCATCAATTCATCTGAAATCTGTTACCATTTTAGGAAGAGAAATGAGACCAGGACCAATCAATGCGTCTGATCAAACCCTACGATAAACTTGATTTTCTTTTTGAAAATCTTGCCATGCAATAATCCTGAAACAACAGTCATGAGATGATAATTCACGCAGATTTGTTTGTGACATCAAAAGAGTAAAAACTTGACTGCAAAACGGTGTACACCAATGAGATAACTTTCTCATTATAAAATTTCAGAATGATCATTGGTCAAGATAAGTCTGTTGAAAAAATACAACTTTTCACAAAGTTACTTCAGACTATCCCGAGCAGTTTGAGAGGTATTTTACCACAAACATTTCCCCGTTGAAATAAAACTACATCTCCCCATGGCAAAACAGATTTATCAAAACTTCAGATATGATCAGTTTGCGTCTGACATCAGTATTATTGCAACTCAAAGTTCACTCTGTCCACAGATATTTCAATTACGCCCCTCACACACAAACCTACACACACACCCCTCATGCCTTGTTGCTGTGCATAAACACACACACACACACACAGACACCTCCCGTAGATACACACACACACATCCCCTCACACGCACAAACACACACACACACATCCCCCCACACCCCTCACACACACATACATCCCCCCACCCCTCACGCCTCGTTGTCGTGCACAAACAACATCTCGGACTTTCCCAGGCCGACCTCCTCAAAGGTCGGGGGGTCAGGCTGACCGTCCACGGGCTCACAGGGCAGCGTCTTCCGCGGGAAGTTTGTCACAATCTGAAAGTCATCGGGGCAGTCCTTGTGGCAGAACACGTACAGGTATAGGTACTGGGGACGTATAGAGAGAGAGAACGTACATACAGGGGCAGTCTTTGTGGCAGAACACGTACAGGTACAGGTACTGGGGACGTATAGAGAGAGAGAGAACGTACAGGTACAGGTACTGGGGACGTATAGAGAGAGAGATAGAGAGAGAGAGAGAGAGAGAATGTACAGGTACTGGGGACGTATAGAGAAAGAGAGAGAGAGAGAGAGAGAATGTACAGGTACAGGTACTGGGGACGTATAGAGAGAGAGAGAGAATGTACAGGTACAGGTACTGGGGACGTACAGAGAGAGAGAACGTACAGATATACATACAGAGAGAGAGAGAACGTATAGGTACAGGTACTGGGGTACACAGAGAGAGAGAGTGATGATGATGATGAGTTTTTACTGCGCTGGCAACTGCATAAGGTCATATGAGCGCCAAGGGGTGGATGCCAACAGAGAAGTCTTTACAGGGAATCAGGCTTACTCTGCTCACCTCTCTAGCTTCAACAGCACAAAGTCTGCTTCGACTATCCGCGCACCTCGGAAATAGCAGTTCACAAGAGTGTGACAAACATACAAAAGAAGTAGAGGAGAAATGACGATAGTAAGGATGAGGAAAGAAAAAGCAGCAGTCCCTGTTACAGTTCCGGCACAGTATGAGCATGACATTGATGAATCAGCCCATTTACAATTCTACTGTACATAAAAACAAGTTAATGTCCCCCCTTTTGGAATGGCCTAAAGACAGCTTCAGTCAGTAGCACCGCCCTAGGGGCTTAAACAACCCTGTCTTCGTAAGAGTTTTACAGCACTTGCAACTCAAAAAAGCCACAAAAGTGCCGAGAATTAGAGGCGTTACAACATTGTAGGAGAGGAGAGATAATGATGATAGATGTTTGATAGGAAAGAAGGAGAAAACCAAACCAGGGCACCCGCCAACCACCCTAGAGGAGTCACTACGGCACAGTGGACGTTCCGTTCTCTCCCCACCACCACCGTGGTAGAACTACTCACTTTGAGCGACTGATCCTCCACCACCACCGTGGTAGAACTACTCACTTTGAGCCACTGATCCCCACCACCGTGGTAGAACTACTCACTTTGAGCCACTGA